TCCAGATTACCAGAGGCAGAAGGAAAGAACTGTTCACTAGGAGGCAGCTGTCTGCTGGGTCTCCAGAGTGGCCATCCTGCAAAAAAACCTCTCCACTACTTTTCCTCAACATGTGAGATGACACATCAAGTTTCAACGGTCACCAGAGGTACAAGTGTCTTGTTGGCTGCACAGGCACCAGCTCTGCCTCCTGCCTGGAGGGATGCCAACAGGGTCTGGTTTAGCCGGAAGATGGATGGGGCTTTAGTCTGTACTCCTTGAACTGGGTGTTGAAACAAGCCGACGGTGCCAGTGTGGAAGTGGGTACCGGAGGGCAGCTTCTCCGGCAAGATCTGTGCCTCTCTTCTAGTAGGACTTGATTTAAAGGAGTGCTCTGCTGGTGGCTGTTGGGATGTAAGGCCGAGGAGGTCTGAGCATGCTTGAGCAGAGCATGGCCTTTGTCCTCTGAGAGATCAGCCCGTTCACTTCTCTGGGGACATGAAATTCTTTCCTTCTCCGCTGTCCTACCTCTGCTCTACACTACGGGGTTTGCCTGGGAATGAAGGAAAACCCACTGGGACTCAGTGCAGGTCTCTGGCTGCACTGGTCTGCCGAGGCATGCTTGTTCCTCTGCTGCTTAACGACCCCACGACACGGGCCCGGATGCTGGGAGCGTGTTTGTGAACTGCTGCAGGTGCTTGGCCAGGCTCCCTCTGGCGTGGCGCGCGCACGGTCGAGGGTGTCACTCACTGAGCCAGCTTCCTTCACTTGGCACAGCCCTGTCCCTGTCCCGTGCTCCCATCAGAACTGCCCCCGCTTGGAGGTAACCTTCTCCCCCCTTCTCTGAGAAGGGAGGAAGCCTGCAGTGCCCTGCACTGGGAGCACAGCTGGAAACTTAGTAGTTAGCAGCAAATCTGGGTGCAAACATGTGGTCGTCTCACGTTGTAAATGACACCAGGGCAGCCCTTGCTCTGGCTTCTGTGCCGTGTTTTCCACTTACCTGTAATAACTGGGATAATAAAACGAGTCTAGCAACCAGAATTCATCTCGTTCCCACTCAGGAAGTCTCTATGGAGGGTTGTTACCACCCCAGCACAACCCTGAGGAAATGCTGGATGAACAGCTGGGACAAGGCTCAGCTCCAGCTGCCCTCGCAGCCCATGGGAGGAATGCCAGTCCCTGGCCTCAGTGCCAGGCCAGTGCTCTGCTGGGTGGAAAACACAGCGACGGAGCGCACACGTTGGGCTCTTGGTACACGACCCAACTGCAGAGGGGCCAAGAGGCACCCTGAACCCTCCCCAGGGGACTGCAAACACAACCTCCTGCTTCGGAGCAGTCCCTGGCAGGAGCTCCAGGAAGATCTGTCCTGCCCGGGGCAGCGTCCTCCCTGCCCTTACTCACAGGTAACCACTTGGTGGTTTCACAGCCATCGCGCTGACCCCGTGGCTGGCTGTGGGCTAACAGGAAAGGGGAGATTCTTTCCCAAGACACATTCATGTCTCGGGTGCCTTAACTGACAAAGCAGTAATGGGGTTTGTACTGGCCACCACAGTCCATTTCATCCTCTGGAGTGGGAGGGGTGGGCA